TCCTCACCTCCTAAGCTCCACCTCCAGCTGAGTTTTCTAATCGTGTTCTTCCGGTCGAGGCCTCCTCTTTGCCTTTTCCTCCGCCATCGTGTGTCGTTCTCCTGAGTTGGCTTCTCACCATGGTAAGCCTATCGGCCGCCATCCGTTCCTAGGTGGCCTTCCCCAGGCCGGAGGCCGCTCTGGTTTTACGGTGGGCGTGCATAGCATCAAGGGGTGTGTGCATTTCCAGGTTTGGGGTTTTGCTTTTTGTTTTTTAGTGGGGGTTAGGCCACCACTCGGGTCGCAGCTGCGGCGTTAAATCAGCAAGCCCGTTTGTCCTCGTGGGGTCGGGCTGCTCATCTTTCAATCTGGCGAGGGGTGCAAAGTATTCTGGCTTCGTTTAACCTGGAGCCCACGGTTGTCTGCATGTTTCTGGGCAAAAAGAGAGGCTTGGGACCCCTTGTAGATTGCTGCTGATTGAATCCTAGCCTTCCCTTGGCGTGAGCAAAGAGCACGAGCTCAGAAGGGAAACTTGCACAGGCAGCTGCCCACAGTAGGTTAACAGGACATAATGAGATATACATACGTCTAAATTGTCGGGACAACGTCCCTTGAAAGTAGTTAACACTAAGCACCTAGACTCATTGGCTTAAATGATTGGCGGGGATTCGCCCAGAGCTATCGTCGTTCCAGTAAATTAGTTCCTCCTACTGTTCATGTTTGCATTGGAAGCACGGGATAGTTAGCCCGTTTTTAGAGCGGACAGACTTAAAACTTGACAGTGTAACACTCTTGATCTGAGAGAAGTTGCTTAAACCATGAACTCTGTTATTCCAGAGAAATAAGATTTTTCTCGGGTGTATATTTGGCAGGCCAGCTGTTAGGTTGAGGGAGTTTGTGACTGGATCAGATGAACAGGCTCTGCTGTCACTAAACTGGTTGCATCTCTCCGTAGTCTTCTCACAAAACTTTCAGAATCAAGCGATTCCTGGCCAAGAAACAGAAGCAAAATCGTCCTATTCCTCAGTGGATTCGGATGAAAACCGGTAACAAAATCAGGTAAGATCTCCATAGTCCTTTCATTTCATTAGCTTTTACATGATTTGGGGTATGCAGGTTGAAAGGTTCAGGCTTTGACACAGTTGAAAAAGTACATGCAGTCCAGAGCATCCTCTGCAGCTCCTTTTTGTTTTTCCTTTTGTGTATGGGTGCACGTGGGGCAGATTTCAGAAATCGGTTCTCCATTCACTAAGTGGATCCTGGGAAATCTGGTTCGGGTGGGTCGTCAGGCTCCTTGGAAGTGGCTTTACCTGCTTAACCTCGCTGAGAGCCCCTGAAATCCCTCCCACAAACCTTTTGGAAATACGTTTTATTAGTTTCTTAAGTCACAGCTAGGCTTTAGGGGCACATGTCTCTCTGTTCCTTACTAATGTCTCTATGAAAGCTTAAGGAAATTGGCTATCCTGGCAGGAAACAGGTCTTTCCTGCAGCCAGAGTTGGATTGACAGGTTCAGAAGAACTCAGGGCCTCCCACAGGCAAGGCAAGTGCCTTACTGAGTTCTATCCGAGGCTTTGGAGGGAGGAAAAATGGGCTTTAAGAAGTCTTGACAATTTGCCAGTGACAGTTCTGGTGTGTTAATGTTTGAGTTGCTTTCATCCATTTGTGTGTGGGGTGCGTGCCCACATCTGGTCAGGACGGAGTTGCTTCTCTGACCACGTGGGTTCTAGCGACTGAACTCAATTCCTCAAGCTTGATTAGTAAGCACTTTTACTGGCTGGCCCATCTTGCCTGCTGCTTGTTTGGTGGGTTTTGTTTTCTCAGACAGAGTCTCTATAGTCCAGATTGCTTGGGAACAAATTAGGGAGTGGTTGTTTGTTTTGTTTTGTTTTTGAGACGGGATCTCCGTATAGAGATCAGGCTGCCTTTGGACTCAGATCCATCTGCCTCCCAAGTGCTGGGATGTGGTTCTGCTGTGGCTAACATTGATGAGTCATATTCTTAGTAATTTAGCTACTTAAGCTTGGAAATCAACTGCCCACTCTGGCCTTACAGTCTAGTTAATTGGTGTCTTCTATCTGCTGGCAGGGTAGGTGCTGCCCCTTTTCAATATATGTGCATGTATTTAGAGACTTAAATTGCAGCCAGGACTAGGCTTTCAAACATACCACCTTTGTCCCAATACAATGCTAACTAAGGAAAGCTTTGAGGTGCTAGGCAAGGTGTTTGCTTGCAACATTCTTGTGTAGTTCAAGCTGGCCATCCTCCTGTCTCTACCTCCCAAGTGCTGAGATTACCAGTGAGTCGCCATGTATGTAGCCTTTCTAAGTACAAGAACCTCAGTTTCCTAGAACCCTAGCTGATGTGAGTAGGAGCTGCTTGCTAGTTGATACTTAGCCAGCTATTGCTGGCTCTCTTTATGAGTGCTAGGGTTTGAGCCAGGGCCTTTTGCATGCTCTGTTCAGTAAGTTCTCTGCACTGGACTCTAACCCCCAGCCCCTAACTTTGAGAACTTAAAGCAGGTCGCAATTACAGTGCTTCATTTTGTGGGAGTACTGCCATTATCCTGCTGAAAGAAAAGCCATGTCGATTGTGTTGGATTTTGCCTTTCCTGGGGGTAAAATCGTGACACTTTGACACGAACACAAACTGTTGTGTGCAACTTGGGAGCTGTTTTCTCCTACCTGAATGTGATGTGAATTCTGGTTTCCTGGTTTGCATAGCAGACACCTTTCCCCGATGAGCTTTTGTGTGTGATCTACAGGAGTTCAGAAAATGTATCTACCCCATCCAGGTCTGTGGATCAGAAGGGGGGGCGGGGGATTTGGGGAGAAAGCATTTCCCACTTCCCCCATTCCACTTAGAATTAAATTATCTGAACCTGTGCTGTAATGCTGGGGATTAGACCTGAATTTCCCCAACATGCTTGGTTTACAATTGACTCAGTTGTCTAACTCATACAGGCCTTTCCCCGGAAGAGTAGCTAGGGCTAGTTAGCTTAATCTGCTTTGATTTTACAGGTTTTGTGTGTTGGTTTTTTCCCCCAAGACAGGGTTTCTCTGTGGGTTTGGAAACTGTCCTGGAACTGGCTCTTGTAAACCAGGCTGGTCTCGAAATCACAGTGCTCCACCTGCCTCTGCCTCCCAAGTGCTGGGATTAAAGGCGTGCGCCACCAACACCCAGCCATTTGTTCCTTTATTTGAGACTAGTCTTTCTATGTATTTCACGCTGGAATTAAAGGCACCACTACCGTGCCCGGCTCATTGTTTTTCTTTCTTTCTTTTTTTGGGGTGGGGGGGC